AGAGAGAGAGAGAGAGAATTCATGTAAGAACCCCTTATGCTGCAGTTTGGAACTTCCTAAACGATGTTTCCCGACATTCATGGCACCAGAAGGTTGCATTTCATTACGTCATCACTCACTACGTACTCACTTGCGCAAAAAGTATCTTATCTACCTTTATTTTTTCGTTGGTCGGAAAACTCAGATTAATTAAAAATAAATAGCCCTTCGACCGCATAAAAGAGATTAGAAAGTTAGAGCTGCGTATCGAAATGTGGAAGTTCACGACTCCATATCGTAAGCGAGCGAGTTGTGAGCTGACAGAAGTCGTTCCCGTTCGCTAATCTCACGAAGGTCTTATAAGTATTCATTCGCGAAGTTATAGCGCCGCCGGCTCCGCTGTGCCGCGGCAAAGCGGATTGGGAGAACCGAAGGGTGGTGTACGGCTCGCTCGAGGGCGGCTCGTGCAAGAGGAGCACAACTAGGGTGGTATCTAGGGGGCGCAGCCGCGACGACCGGAAAATCGATACCCATCGTGTGCCGGCGAACGAGACGGGCCGTCTTCCAGTACGCGGCTCGTGGGCACGAGGTAAACGCGGCGATTACCGGATCGGCAATCGGAATGGAGTGACGCGTGAGAAGTGAGATCAGCCGTTTGTTGTCTCCAGTCCGATTGTCAGGAACGCAGCAGTATGGTACGTCCGTGCGGAAGACTTGATGACTCGATAATGGCACGCGACGTCGGCGGGATGACGCGCGGGTGCTGGCGATCTTGCTACCGATCGCATTCGAAGCGAACGGTGATAGATCCGCGACGTATCCGCCACCGGTCACGTGAGAGACGCATTCGCGTTCAGAGCCTGTCAGCACCTGCGACGTCGACGGCGAACGCGTGCGTTCACCAACGGTGAATTACAATTATGTCATTTCTCTTCCTTGTTTGTGTAGTACGGTTTTGTGAATTACGCCCTCGAGCTCCTGGTCGTGAAGACCTTCGGCAACGAAACGTGGGAGACGATAAAGTAGGTAAAGAATAAGTAACCCGTCTCCGATGCCTTCCATGTTTTTTCTCTCGCACGTTTTTTTTTTATACCACCTCGTGGCGTTTCGCTTGGCTTCGGATAATTAATTAAATATTGACATAGATCAGCAGAGAGGACAGTTTATACATGAGAGTGGTATGCCACTTTATTACAATCTGTATATATGTATACGATGCTATATTGCATTTATATGTGTTCATTAAGATTGATGTACCACATGTGACTTTTTTTGCTGTCTACTAACATTGAGGCTTATGGAAATATCACATTTCTCGTACTTTTTCACTTATATTCACTCTTATATCTGTAAATTATATTAAAAATTGTTAAATATTTTGAAAATTTTCCATTTCTGTAAAAAGTTTTATTTTATTTTATAAAAATAAAAAGTGTAGACTCTCAATTTATTCAAAAATATAAGTTTAAAAATACAAATTAATTTTTTTATTGATTATCACGTGATAATCGATAATTTAATTAAAAATATTCTTAGCTCTTAAAAATATTCTTAAAAATATTTTTATATTTATTTAAAAATGCAGATTATTTTACGAGTAAAATGGGCATCGTTTAAATATACCTATAAGAGAGTTAATTTGTTCGTCCTAAATGAAGTTTAGTAATACCGTCCACAAAATTGGGTTGCAGAATAATGTTAGCTAATGTCGGAGGTATCATCTGGTTTTATAGCAACATCATAACACAATTAGAATATAATGTACAACGTTTAACATGAATTAAGATATAAGAATAACGTTAAAAAACAAATTGGATTTTAATTATGACAAACTTAGTAATGTTACTTCAAAAAGGGCTTGAATTTTATTTAAAATGTAATCTTACAATTTTTAATCTTTTTAATTAATTCTTATAAAACTTATTATCTGTCCTTATGATATTATTAATTTTCTTATTATTAATATTATTTTTATCATTTATTCTTGTTATGCATTTATTTTTTATAATTATTGTTGTTTTTTTATCAATATTTCCTTTTTTGAGGAATTTTTCTGGAAAATATTGTAAATTGTTCTGTGACATGAATATTGGTAAGCTGTTGCAGAAGCTTTTAAAAGACGTTGAGGTAAGCTCTAAGTGACACCTGATATCCATCTCAAAGAATCAAACCACTTTGAACTCTTGACACGTAAATTAAATGACAGCAAGATCGCATAAAGCGCTTACTAAATTATCAAGCTTTTAAAGTTCCTATAATGTGATTAAATATATGAAGATCTATTTAGGATTTAAGATTGTCTGATGTAGAATAATTGTATTAACTTGTAATTAACTTGAAATAATAACAAACATATGCAAAATATAATAAATTTGGAAATGGTTTAAATAACGATAGAATTTGTTTAAATAATATATGTATATTACGTATTGTTTTAGTATTATTATGTCTATTTTATCGGATTTTTATCGATTGTATTGATGATTTAGAAAAGATGCGGCAGTTAATATGGAAGGACAGTTTCTGGTACGACAAATCTACGAAGATGAAATTACGTATAATTTGATATCCGCTGCTGTCAATAAGCTTAGTACGTATACTTTTGTGATTGCGACATAATCTATCGTGCGCGGATTTATTTACAACAGAAAATTTTATTAGATTTTACATCTTATACTTTAGATATTCCAGCCGATGAAATACTTGAATTATTTGGTCGAATGTTCTTCGAGTTCTGCCAAGATTCCGGTTATGACAAGATTCTTCAAGTTCTTGGAGCAACACCTAGAGATTTTTTGCAGGTAAATCTTGAAGGTTGTCCACATTAATTCTAGATTTCTCTGAGATCTTGAATAGTTCAATGCACTTGGCCATACAGGTTTATTGATACGAAAAATCTTATACTTAACTTGATTTCTCTTACGCTTTAGAATTGCATTGCGGACAACTTTAATAATCGTTAAAATGCATTTGATATATTATTAATATAATTTTCCGTTAAAAACATTTGCTAAACTAGTCATAGATAGTTTAGGATACACGTGGATACATTATATGAATAAATTAAAAAGCTTCATTATTGAAATTACCCCTATAATTTTATATTTTCTATCCGATAAATATATAATTAAATTAATAATTATTATTAATAAATTAGGATATGTATTAGTAACGTTATGAAAAATAAATATAAGCAGTACAATTATTTGTTAAAAACTTAATAAAAATTTTAATTTATATTACCGTGTTCTGAATTTTAAAGGTATATCCAATCTCTCTCAATTATTCATTTCAATATAGAAGAGAATAACGCAATTAAATCCAGCACATGTCATTTTTTATTTTCTACAGATTTTTATTCATATTATTTCGTTTACACTTTGCAACATAACATTGAGAATAGTCGGATAAAAATGTTTTAAATATTAATATAAGCTATTGCACAGAACTACATTCTCATTCTGTTATCTTTTCCTTAATTTTTTATTCTCTTCGATATATCAACTATGCAATATATAATATTTAATGCCACATATCTAATAAAAGTAGGAATTTGTTCAAATGTACTTATATGGATTATATTACCCTACCATTGAGATTATTATTCTTATCAAAGGTATACATTTTAAATTCATATTCGATATTGGAAACAATGTATTATATATATTCGTTATCGGATACATGCATACACGTCAATATTACATTGCAGAATCTGGATGCGCTTCATGATCATTTGGGTACGTTATATCCGGGCATGAGGGCACCATCGTTTAGATGTACAGAAAGACCAGAGGATGGTGCGCTTATCTTGCATTATTATTCGGATCGACCTGGTTTGGAGCATATCGTTATTGGAATTGTTAAGGTACTCCATTTTTCCGCCGATAAAAATATAATTCGTTATGTCGGATCTGAGAAATCGTGGAATAAAATTCAATCCTTGAATATTCTGGAAATGTAAATTCAATATTGGAAAAATTTTTCTCCAGAAAGTATCGCGCGCGAGAGAAAATAAAAGTATAGCAATGATTTTATTTAAGGAGAGAACGTCTTACGATTAGTCGATGGTGTGAGAAAAATTGTAGAGGAAATTTCGATTTATGTTTGAAATAGACGGTCGCGAAAAAACTGCACGGTACGGACGTTGACATGCAGATAGTGAAGACTAAAAGCGAATGCGATCATGTGCAATTTCTCATAACTGACACATCAGGGCCAGGAGTTGTATCAAATCCTATGATCGCTGAGCTGGAAACATTGTCTGTTGGTAAGTGGTTGTTGTTATTTGTTATAAAAAAAAATTGGCACAAATTATTGGACAATAAAATCATCAAGCGTATTGTGAAATATAATATATTAATTATAAAGATGTGTTTTCATCATGAGGATAATAAAAAATTTCTTAACAAATTGTCGTAGAGCCAAGGGTCAGTCCAACGACATTTTGTCGAGTTTTTCCATTTCATCTAATGTTTAATCGGGACCTTACGATAGTTCAAACCGGATGTACCATAACTCGTGTTATACCGCGCGTCTGCAGTGGTCATTGCAAACTAAACGACATTCTCTTAACTGTGAGTTAACGAGTATCCAACTATAATCTATTTGTTATAGTGTATGTATTTTTGGCCTCTCGTTTGTTTTAACACAGACGTAATTCTGTAATACTTTCATGTATTTTGTACATCATATACGTGTATATTTTTGATTTTCAATACTTTGCATTTCATAAATTAATAAATCCGGATTAACAGATTAAAAGTTTTCTCGCTGTTTCTCCTTGCATTATTAATTGTTACAACTTAAAAATTTATGAATAATAAATAAAAATTATTACTTGATAATATCACTTCAGCATTAACACTGCATATTCGTGTGAACAAAGTATTACGTGTCTGCATTGATATCGATCATTAATTTTCAATAAACCTTACTAATTGTTGTCAAAGGAATTGCATTAGTGCACAGTGAATTGCCATTACATATATGTCCATAAACATGCGAATGTATTTCAAATGCAGCTTATTGTGATGAGCACAGAGCGGGTTGTCCAAGCCGACCATTTAACACAATTTGCATTATTGTTCATGCGTTTCAAATGTAATGTTGTCAATTATCCTATCATTATAATCGCTTATTTTAAAAATTGTGGATACATCGAGTGCGTATTATATTAATGTAATTTTATTTAAAATACCTGCAATATTCAATTTTGATATACGTAGATCAATTTAATAAACTATTACACGAAATTGGGTTAATTAGCTGTCATTTCGAATTTTCATAGGTCAGACCGCACCTGGAATTAACATTCGAGAATATATTGTCGCATATTAATACGGTATATGTGTTAAAAACGAAAAGGGAGTTATGCGTGTCGATGCTTCAGAGGAGTATTCTAATTTACGTTTAAAGGTCAGCATTTCATGAAGATAAATCGAGGATAAAGGGATGGGACTTATGCAGAATACTTTACGATTTAATAATTATTTTAGGGACAAATGTTGTATATACCTGAGACCGATTTAGTCATCTTTCTGTGTTATCCAAGTGTTATGAATCTGGATGACTTAACCAGGTAAGGCCTATGTAATCCTTCTATAAATCTATTAATCGCTTTTCTGTTGCGAGAAGTCAGCGGATATACATATATAACGGGACAGAAAAGTATATATAGCTCATTAGCATAAACTTCTGCGCAACAACATCGTCATTGGAAGACTTATTAAACTTGTTCTTTCTTCCTTTGCGGAAAGGAAAGTTGCGTCTTTTACTAATAATCTTATATCTCTCGGTCAGCTTTGAAATCTTTTGTTCGTTCATATTAAGCGTAATTGATTAAAGTTTCGTATTGACATTGACCAAAAGTTTTATACGTGACGTATTAGTTGATACGAAGTGAAGGATAGATTCGTTATCACGCATGACAAACGCCGTCGCAATATAGTCCCGTTGTTGTTCTTTCGGCTTCAGGCGAGGTCTGTATTTGAGCGACGTCCCTCTGCACGACGCCACTCGAGATCTGGTCCTGATGTCGGAGCAATTTGAGGCGGATTACAAACTGACGCGCAACTTGGAATTACTCACCGATAAGCTGCAACAGACGTATCGCGAGCTCGATGGCGAGAAGCAGAAGACCGACAGGTAAAGATCTCCGCCCACGGCACTTCCTGATTATCCAGCGAATCCTTGCCGTCAGACTGTTCGCCGTTTATCAGTAACACGATTACGCGAGATCTGCGACTCTCCTTCCTCCGCAGCGAATTGCCTCGCAGGAAGTCTCTTCGATGAAAATTAATACGGAAATAGATTTATGATGAGATACGATACCGCAAAAGGAAGGGACCGACTTCCGCTTGCGGAAAACGGACTTCTGAGGAAAACAGAAATCTTTTCTGAGATTTCCCGCAACTGAAACTTTCCGTGGAAACTACCTAAATTCAATCTTTCGACTGAGAAAATTTTGCCGAGAACTGTTCGCGAACGTTAATCCGATTAGGCAAAACTAGCGCGCGCGACGGAAACTTGCGACGTTGAATAAAAGATCATCTGTATTCCCTGTAGGTTGCTTTACTCGGTGCTTCCTATTTCGGTGGCGAACGAGCTCAGGCATTCAAGACCGGTACCGGCAAAAAAGTACGATTGCGTTACCCTTCTCTTCTCCGGTATAGTCGGTTTTGGAGCTTATTGCGCCGCTCACACAGACTCCAACGGCGCTATGAAAATCGTTAACATGCTCAATGAATTGTACACAGCTTTCGATGTGTTGACTGATCCGAAAAAAAATCCCAACGTGTATAAGGTAAACATTTGCGATAAATTTAATTTTTTGAATTAAATATCTCGAGATTGCTAGATGCAACGTGATAAATTATTGTATATTTTTATGTAATAAAGTTTTCCATATAAAAAAAGCTTTTTTATTACGAATATTTATAAAAATTATAAAAACAAAGAAAACCTTATGACGTAGTTATTCATAAATTTTATTCATGTAATAATATTCTTTGATGTGTCTCGGATTTTCATTCATCGCTTTTGGTTGATCTAGGTGGAGACTGTCGGTGATAAATATATGGCAGTGAGTGGATTGCCGGAACCCTGTCGTTGTCATGCACGATGCATCGCCCGTCTAGCGTTGGACATGATGGATCTCGCGGCGGACGAAGTGCAGATCGATGGAGAACCCGTGGTATGTACAAGCTGTCTGCACTCCACTCGATATATTTTGCTATACGACACAAAACGCTTTGATAACATGTTCTGAAAAGAGTTGACAGTATAAGTCAATTTAAGATTGGATGTTAAATATTATACGTCACAATGGTCAAATGGACGAAGAAGTTAAGACCGTAAAGGGAATTATCCCGACGATCTGTTCGTCGACTTTTATAGAAAGTTGAAATCTTCCGTACCTCTTTATACAATTTTATATA